TTCTTCCCACCATTTGTTGGCAGACACGATTAACCAGACATGAGCACTTTTATGTAGAAGGGGGGATTCTCTTGTGCATGGGAAGTCTGACCTGGGCCATCCCAAGAAAACTTGGGCTTCTCTACCCCAGTGTTTTGTTAGTATTAAGTCCTTCTTACAAAGGGGTTTTGATATTGGCAAGAGGTCTACACTGCCCACATTCAGGAACAATGCAGTTTGGAAACCCTAGTCTACTTTCCCTAGTGCCCCGTGGAAAAGCAGTTAAACCTCAGATGCAGTGAAGCTCTGTCTGGGTTTCATTGTGCTCTGCCTACTTCTAGGCCACTCATTAAGCCTACAGGTACATCTTAAATCCATGCTGTGTGGTTTAATCCCACCTACCCAAATGATTCTAAATTAGGGACCTTGATGAATTTCTCCTAAATGACTATGAAGAGATTCCTCTGGGTTAGAAAAGAGCAACTCTGAGTACAGCTGCTTAGAGGGAAGTCAGGGTTTCTTGTTGCTGGACCAGGCGTGAGGAGTGGGGGGAGAGGGAGCCGGCAGGCCTGGGCAGGTTTCTTGGCTCTCCAGCATGCACCTCACCCATGGCCAACAGGGTTTGCTCATTTGCTTTTCACATTTCCTTGAACTTCAAACACCCTTTGGATGAGGAAAGCTCTGGTGGAACTTGGAGGGACCAAACTAGAGAGGGCACAAGGACAGCGGGAGACACGGCAACAGGTTAGAAGCCCTTCTCTCGGGCCTGGGGCTCTGCTGAGGGTGGGAAGCGGGGAGCTGACCCCGGGGAGCCCTGCAACCAGGGAACAAAGGCAGGAAGGCAAGGGATGTGTGTTCATGTCTCTGCTCTGCCCCTTGCAAGCTGCAGTCTCTTCTGTGTCATCGGGGAAAGGGCTTAATGACACCACTCAGGCTGCCCGCTTCCAAGAGGGTTTGTGTAGAGGCCCAGATGAGTCAGCCAATGACCTTTACAAAGACTGTCTGTCAATCAAGTACATAAATTAGTGTGAGCAAAGATGATGGTGATGATGATTTCAACCTCCCACCTGGTGTGAGGGATGAAATGTACTAGCAAACACATACGTAAAACCATTGCAGAGATGAAAGCTGGTGGCTGGGGTTCCACCAGCTCAGGGCTCTGCTTGGTCCAGATGCTGAGCTCTGGTGCGGGAGCTCCCCATCAGAGCAGGGATCGGGCGCCTGATCCCCCTCCTTCCCCTTCTCCTAGAGTCACCAGAATTCTTAGGTTTGGAATAGAATAAGGAAAACTCCTGCTCCTTGAGGGGGAACGTTTTGAAGGCCCGACCCTATTAATTTTATTTAGAATGTCATTCATTCATTGTAACATTTCACAGTTCTTTATAGGAGGTGATTTCACAACTACTGTATCTGTTCATCCTGGTTTTGTCCCCATTTTACAGATGAAGAAACCGAGGCTGAGATCAAGTAAATGACACCGCTAGTAAGTTGCAGCAATTTACACTCGGGCTTTCAGACTTCAAGTCCTGTGTTCCTGGAAACGCATGTTCAACTACAGAGCTAAAGAAAGACCTGGGAAGGAGCAGAGAAAGAGGGGAAAGTGGGGAGGAGAGGAGAAAGAAGGGGAAGGAGGGAGGGAGGGAAGCATGGAAATAGGGATGGAGGGAAAAGAAAAGGAAGGAAAAAAAGCAAAAGTAACTTGAGGGAGCAGAGAGCGCAGTTCTCGCAATATACACGGGAAAGTAAGGCTCACTTGCGTCTGTGTTCAGACAGGTCTGCTGCGTGGTACTCGAGCGGTGTCCACTGTGTCCCTGAGGCATCACACACAGACCGCTGCTCGGACTCTGCACTTCGGGATCTGCTGGAACCCCCATCCCATCCCGCTGCGGACCCCACTCCATTGCCCCTACTCGAGAGACTTCTTGGTTCAATTGCTTGTGGATTCACCGCGGGGAACCTCTACGGACGACTGGCTGCAGTCCTGTGCCCAGCGCGGTTCCAAGCAAGTGTTGCGCGGTGAGGGGGATGTGGGGGGGGGAGGGGAATCGCCAGCCTTGGCCCTCTCGCTCAGCCCTCCCAGCCCCGGGCTTTGGGGACACTTGAGATCTACTCGGAGTTCCGGAACACTGAAGGTCGCAGTGACCAGAGAGGCAGAGGAGTCACAGGGACCCGCATCTCTTAGCACCGCCTGCAGCAGGGCACGTTCGCATAAAGTTGCCCAGGTAAATCAATGCGCGGGTGCAAGTTAAGAAGTGAAGGAATGGAGCGAGCAAAAGAGCCCAGGTTCCCGTGAGCAGATCGCTCAGACGCTGAGGGCAGCGCCCATGGAGCCATGAGGCCGTTAATGCCCAGGTCCTGGACGACTCAGTCTCGTGCACTCTCTCCAGACGAAATGCAAGAAATTAAACAATTGGAAACAACAATCACAACTTGTCTCCTCTCTGCGCCCGCCCCCGCTATTTTCTCCAACTTTGCTAAAGAGCTCTGGAATCCAACTTGACGGCTCTGCGCTCCCCGGGTCCCTTGCCTCTTCTTAACCTGGCGCCTGGGCGCGGCCCCACTGCGTGCGCTCTCTACTGTGGAACCGCGCCGGCCGGGCGCCAGAAGCTGGGGGCTGTAGTGGGAACGTCCGCGGCCGGCAAGGGGGCGCTGTCCCCTAGAGGCCTCTGGGCTGTCCGAGCACTGTCTGTGCCCTGCAGCGGCGGTGGGCTTAGAAGGGGTCCAGGGATCCACGGCTGCAGCGCAGGTCCTCCTCCCGAACCCCCGGTTGCGGTCCCTTATCCTTCCTTCCTTACCCCAATGAGGTGCCCTCCCGCGCCCTGGCGCGGCCCTAGCGCCCCGCGGTTCCTAGAGTACCCCGGCCCAGGGATTTTTCTTGAGGAAATTTCTGGCATAGGGGTCCAACATAGGAAATGGCCTAGGCTTCCCGGGGTCCACCTAGACTGTGGAAACATTCTCTCTGCTTCCCCTCCTCCGTCTTCCCCTCCCCCCGTTCAACCCGCTCCCCGCTTGTCCCTGGCGCCAGCCAGCCCCTCTGCTCCACCTCGGGTTCCAGGATGCTCTCCTGGCTGCGGTACACACACTTTCCAGCCAGCACCTGCTCCTTTTGCTGATCAGCTCTGGCCTGTGAGGGTAGCGTGTGGAGCGCATGGGTGTAGGGTGCTGCTGCTGGATCCTGCCGGGAAAGGAGAGGAGAACTGAGCAATCTGTTTTATGAGTAAAGCCCATTCTGGGATGAAAATTATCTGGGGTTCTATAGGTTAAAATTGGGACTTAAAAACAGAGAAGTTGCATTTCTCCATCCACTTGCCTTGGGGTCTGTGGGGCCTTTCTGGGAGCGCATGTTGCACACAAGGCACTTATGAACGCGGTGCACACTAGGACATTGAAATTTGGTCTTAGAATTTACAGGGCTTTACATCTAGAGTTGTATTAACATCAAGCATCATACAGAGTTTAAGCTTTAACATATCTCACCAGATCTTCACAACAGCCCTGTGAGATCAAGTCTTATCATTGTCCTCCTTTTAGGTTTAGGTAAAAAGGCCTAGAGAGATACCTGACTTGCCCAGAGTCACACATTAAGTAATCAAACACTGAAGACAGGTCCTGACTCCAGACCCCAGGAGGGTCCTCCCACAATGCTACCTCCTTTCAGGGTCACTTCTACTAAGCCCTGAATAGGGATGGCGCTCAGTAAATATTTGTAGATTGAATTCCAGGATCTAACCAAGCCTTATGATTGCCGTGTTTTATACAGTAGGGTGTGTCTAAGCCTTATTTACTCACTCACTTATTCATTCACTTATTCGGCAGTTCTTGAGGGCCTACTGTGTGCCGATGCTGCCATAAGAGCCAGGAGGACAGCCCTACTCACAGGAAGCAGGGGATCATGTGAGCTCTCCTGGAGGCAGAGGGCTGGCATCTTGGAGAGACTACCCTCAGCTGCCAGCTCTCAGCCCTCCGAGTTGAGCGCGGGCCCAGAACCTGCCATGCTCTAACCTGGGGAGTCGGAAAGGCTTACGGGAACGCGGGAGGGGAGGGCCCGGAGCAACTCTACTCCGAGGAGCAGGACAGCAGGACGGACACAAAAGAAAATACAACCAGAAGGAAATTCCCTGAGAGAAGAGCTAGAGACAGGGAGCTGGAGACCCCGCGGACTTCGGAGACAAGCGCGGTGTGGAGATAAGGGTGTTAGAGGAGAGAAATCAGATGGCAGAGTGAATAAAGGAGAACTGAGAATGCAGTCAAGCCCCCAGGACAGCCTGGGAGTTGCGGGGGCGTCGGGGGTGGGGAGTAGGGGCTCGGTGAGCACTGCATAGAACCCCATCCGGAGTGCATTCCTAGTCCTTGCCAGTCTCTGGCCGCCAAAGTTGGCTGGGAGCGAGATTGTTGGAGCCCAGGTCACTTGAGAAAAAGAGTAGGAATGTTCTCTTCAGAAAGGTTCACACGCTGCTCTGGGGGGATTCATGGTCAGACCAGTGTCTATCGCGCCCGGCCAGGCCTAGCGAAACCTGTTTGGCTTCGGTTCTCCAGGGGATTCCAGGCGCGGGAGGAGTTGGTGGAGTGGGGCTAGGAGAGGCCACGGCCAGTCGGGACAGGGCACTGGAGTCTGGCTCCCGCTCCGGGGCGAGGGGACTGCGGGCGGCGCCCGCCTCCGGGCTCTGCGACACCTGCACCCAGAGCGGGCGGGACCGGAGGCGGCCAGGCGCGGATTCCCCGGAGGGACTGGGAGGCAGAGAGCGGGCCAGGGCGGGCACGGGGAAGTGGCCCTCCCTCCACTCTCCCCCTCCTGGCAGGTCGGAGCCGGGACGCGGTGGCCCAGGACGCAGGGAGTGGGCCCGCGCCGAAACGGAGGGAGGGGCCGCGCCGCCTTCGAGAGTCATTGGAGGACGCGGCCGCCCGAAGCTGATAAATAAAGGGACGGGCCGCGGCTGCCAGCCAAGTTGGACGCCCGACCCGTGCGAGGGCCGGGTTAGCGCCTGCCCTGCGAGGCGAAGCGAGGGGACCCCCGTGAGGCCATGGCCACGCTGTTGGGAGCTTATCCGTGGCCCGAGGGGCTCGAGTGCCCGGCCCTGGAAGCCGAGCTGTCGGATGGGCTGTCGCCGCCGGCCGCCCCTCGCGGGCCGGGGGACAAGGGCTCGGAGAGCCGTATCCGGCGGCCCATGAACGCCTTCATGGTATGGGCCAAGGACGAGAGGAAACGTCTGGCGGTGCAGAACCCGGACCTGCACAACGCGGAGCTCAGCAAGATGCTGGGTGAGTAAGCGAGCGAGCGGGCTGGGCGCCCCGGGAGGTCGGCGGGACGGGGGCGCGGGCGGAGGCGGGCCCCCGGGGCTCGCGGCTAGGGACCGGGGGTGGGGGTCCTGCGAGGGCGCGGGAGCCTAGGTAGGACCTGGCGTGTGGGTATGCTCGGGGAGCGCTAGCGTTCGCTGTGCCAGCGAGGCTGGGCATCTGTGCGAGCGTGGGTATGCGCGCAGTGACAGGGATTCAGAGCAGGGACACCTCGACGAGGCCCAAAGTGAAACCGCGCGGCCCGCTGCGGCCGGCCAGGAAGCCCACTCGCGGGAACAGGAGCGGAGTTTGGGGTCCCAGGGGACAGGCGGGGCCGACAGCGGCTAGATCCCGGTTGCCCGGCGACCGGGACCTGCGCGCACACAGGTCAGGACGGAAACGCAGAGGCTGGGTGGAACCGGTGTTTGCTAGGAACACCGAAGCGGGAAACACACCATTCCCTGAACTTTGCCACTGGCACGCTCACAGAAGGAGGTTGTAAATATTATTAAGGAATATTCGTCAAGAGAGACTTTGCGGGAACGCATCCCTTCTTTAACTTTATTAAACCTACAGCAAAAAGTACGCAAATAGGCTCGATTCGATAATGTATTTCTCAATCTCGGGAGTGTAGATACTGTGATTGGGATGCTCAGGGTGTCCAGTGAGGTCTGTCCTGGAGCCTGTCACTTTCCAAGTGCTGCTACGCAGTCCCAGCAGGGACAGCGGGCCTGGGGACAGGGATGAGCCAGACCGGAGGGGCCCAGAGAAAGGATTTAGGGCACGTCCGAAAATTTAGAGTTGGAGTCGGTTTTCGTTGGGGTTTCTTCTTTCCCGCGTCAGGAGCTGAGTACTTTCAACTCCGCTCTACTCCTAACCTTTTTGCCCTTCCACGGAGGTTTTATTCATTTTAAGTTGTGGGACCTTTTGAAGCATTTTGTCAGCACAGTGGGACAAGGGAAATTATGTGGTCACCTGAGGTTGGCCTGACCCTCCCCAACTGCACCCCCCCCCCAGAACTGAGCCTTTTTCCTTTTCCCTCCTGAGCTCCAAATCATGGAGTGAGGGCTGTCACCCACCTTTCTGCTGGCTAAACCTACAGGCCCGCAGAGAGGGTTCTTCCTGCAGTGTAGATGCCCTTTCAAAGCTGCTGGTTTCAAAAAGTCTCCTACCCATGGCCCAGTCCCCTGGCTAGAAATGCCCAGGACACACTGGTAAGTCAATGTCTTAGTGAGCCCCTTTCTTCATAAAAAATATTAAAAATTATATTTCATACTGTGTGGGCATAAAGACAAATATATTAATATATACAACAGTAAAGCATTTACCTGAAAGTTCATTTTTTTCTTCAGGTTTTTGAAGAAACGAAAATACCTTTTTTTTTTTTGTGGGCCCCTCAACATTTTTTTTTGGTGGGCCCAGGCACTGTGCCTTTTGCTCAAGGGCAGCTCCTGTGACCAGGAGAGAGTGAGGTTTCCATTGTAGGCCCAGGCCAGAGATGGGAGAGGAGCTCAGGCCAAGAAGCCTTTTGGGACTGAGGCTGCCTGCTTCCCAGGGGGCAGGCAGTCAAAAGGACCTACCTGACAGATGCCTCTTGTGAGCTGATCCCTGTTGGTGATTTGCACTTAGGCTTCCAGAGGTTATAATTCATTTTGCAGGGAAGACACTGATTACTTCCTGCTTAACCACATAGCCCCTGGCCCTAGGGTCGGGGTTTTTAAAAATATGGACTTTCTACACCTGTTAATAGGGGTGCAGCAGGATGATCCACGTCCACCCCATGATCTTGCCCAGCCCTTTCCTTTTTAACCTAGGCAACTTTTTTGCCTCTAAGCTTTCCAATCTTTAACATCAAAAACTTCATCTAGTAGCACTACTATTTTTAGGATACTATGAATAAGAAGGCACATAAAGACAGTTAATACATTTAATGGCATTTAAAATGACTATTTTATTAATACTATGACATCCATGTACACTTAGAAACTAGAGTCACATTTTATATTCAGTCCACAGACAGGGTGTGGGGTGTACCAGGATCTTGAGACTCTTGCAACAATTTTGCAGTCTCAGCCACAGAGACTGCTGACGAACTCCAAACCCAGAGTTCCTGACACATTTCAAGTTGCCCTTTTAAGTGACAGCTAAATTATATTAATTGATGACTCTGTCACAATAGTTGTAAACTTTCATCCCAATGGTAGTGCGCCCTTTAATAATCGCCCTCCTCCAGGGACCTCTGAGGGCCAGGCATGCAGATTCGGCCAGTGCAGGTACCGAGGTGGCAGGATACGTAGCTCTGTACTGGGCCCTGTGCCAAGGGTTCTGGGTGGGACATGTGGCCCTTTATAGGGTGTGGGGATGGGGGTACATACCTCCAAGCTAGTAGGATTGGTAACTTCAGGATACATTAGAGTCGGGTGTGTGTGTGTGGGGGGGGGGACTTCCAAAGTTGCAGAATCCCAAGTTCACCCAGGGAGGTAAGGGTCCAGAAATGACCTTCAGAAAACCAGCAGCCAGTGGGATGTGCAATGAATGTACTGACAGATGAGAGAAAGATGCTAAAGCAATTTACAAAACAACACAGAAGGGAATAAGGATGAATAGAAAATCCAAGTGAAACCAGCACTTTAGCACCAGTGGGCTACAAGTTTTATAGTGAGGAAAAGAAGAGACCCAGGGAAGTCAAAGAATTTGCTTCTGTAAGAAGAGTCAGTGACCGAGCAACTGCCCCCTGCCACAGTCACAGGGTACTGATTAAGTAGAGAGCAGGAAGTCTTATCGTGTGTGTGTGCTTGCGCACCTGTGTGCGTGTGCACGCATGTGTGTGCGTGTGCACGCATGTGTGCGCCTGCGCCTGTGCATGTTGCAGGCAGATGCGAGCATTCTGGCAATGGGCTTCACATGGCAGGGTCCTAACTGACCTTCAGATGTGAGGGATAACTGTCTGTTCCCCTAAGTGAGATCCTGTAATTTACTTAAATCTGTGAAATGACGGACTGAGCCTGAGTTCCCTCACAAGAAGGCCTGTGGGATTTATGCCATAAATACAGCATCACTTGCTGAGAGGCAGCGGTGATCAGCAAAGGCAGAGAGTTTTCATTAAAATGCACAAATGATTAGACTTGGTCCACTTAGGGTAAAAAAGAGCCCAGATCAGTGTGGTCGTTATATATTTTTATCGTGTATCTGACATTGGGTCCGGTGGGCCTTTCACTGTGAATCCCGCATTGTTTACACGTTTGCGGTATCTAACGGCTTTTATAGGAGAGGTGAAAGTGATCGTGCGTAGTTGGCGTTAGTGGTTTTGCGGGATGCAAGCGGGAGAGATTGGTTTGGCCTCACAGTGCCGAGATCTGGGTGCGAAAAGTGTGGTGTCCTTTGTGGAGAGGGCGGGTAACCGCGGGTGGGAGGTGGGATGGGGGATGGAGGCGGACGGCGTGTGCGAGTATGGACGCTGGGAGGCACGAGCGTCTGAGACAGGTGCACCGGCCTCCCCAAGCCGCGCAGATGCTGAAAGTGGCCTTCTCTGACTTGTGTGAGCAGGAAAGTCGTGGAAGGCGCTGACGCTGTCCCAGAAGAGGCCCTACGTGGACGAGGCGGAGAGGCTGCGCCTGCAGCACATGCAGGACTACCCCAACTACAAGTACCGGCCTCGCAGGAAGAAGCAGGCCAAGCGCCTCTGCAAGCGCGTGGACCCGGGCTTCCTCCTGAGCTCGCTCTCCCGGGACCAGAACGCTCTGCCCGAGAAGCGGGGCGGCGGCCGCGGGGCGCTAGGGGAGAAGGAGGACAGGGGTGAGTACTCCCCGGGCTCCGCCCTGCCCAGCCTGCCGGGCTGCTACCACGAGAGGCCAACTGGCGGCGGCGGCACCCCAGGCAGCGTGGACACTTACCCGTACGGGCTGCCCACGCCCCCGGAAATGTCGCCCCTGGACGTGCTGGAGCCAGAGCAGACCTTCTTCTCCTCCCCTCGCCAGGAGGAGCATGCGCACTCCCGCCGCATCTCCCACCTGCCGGGGCCCACTTACTCCCCGGAGTACGCCCCCAGCCCCCTCCACTGCGGCCACCCCCTGGGCTCCCTGGCCCTCGGCCAGTCCCCGGGCGTCTCTATGATGTCCACTGTACCTGCCTGTCCCCCGTCTCCTGCCTATTACTCCCCTGCCACCTACCACCCTCTCCACTCCAACCTCCACGCCCACCTGGGCCAACTCTCCCCCCCTCCCGAACACCCCGGCTTTGATGCCCTGGATCAGCTGAGCCAGGTGGAACTCCTGGGGGACATGGATCGCAATGAGTTCGACCAGTATTTGAACACTCCTGGCCACCCAGACTCTGCTGCAGGGGCTGTGGCCCTCAGTGGGCATGCCCCGGTCTCCCAGGTGACATCAACAGGCCCCACAGAGACCAGCCTTATCTCCGTGCTGGCTGATGCCACGGCCACGTACTACAACAGCTACAGCGTATCATAGAGTCCGAGGCAGCCAGCCCAGCCCTGCGTCGCCGCAGCCCTCTCCTTCCCGCGGGCTGAGCAGAGAGGCGACCGCGCAGTGCTACCGGCTTTCCTCCGACCGCCGGGGGTGTGCAGGTCCGAACTGTCCGCGGGGCAGAACGGGGCTCTGCTGGTCTGAGTGCCCCTTTGCTCCCTGCCGCCTACATTTTGAGCATATCCCTTCAAATGGGTTCTCATTGGCTACACCCTGGGAATAAGGCAAGGTAGTTGCCAAAAGATGGTTTACCGGCAGATTTTCATTTACTTCTCCCGGTCCCCATCACGGAAACCAATGTGTGAAAATCTCAGCGGCATTCACACCTCTCCAGCTTCTGTCCCAGACGCATGGGGTACAGCCGTTCTGATCTTTGGGTCCCCCAGGTGAGAAGAGCCCTGGGCTGCGACCCAGAGGACCCCGGGTCCCGTCCCAGTTCTGCCTCGGAGGGCTGGAGGGGCCCGCGCTCGGCTCTCTTCCCCTTCCAGCCCCTCCCCCAATCTGTAAAGTGGGGGACAGACTTGACATCTAAGGCCCTTTCTGCTCCAGAGTTTTCTGACCTAGGATTCTTTCAAGGCTAATTAAAAAGAAAACAAAAATTTGTCTTAGTAAAATTCACTAACGTCCAACGTGGTGATAATTCCAGGTGCGCAGCCCAAGAACACATGGCTTTCTGCGCTGGCATTGCCTTCCCAAATGATCGTGGTCTTTCAAAAGTACTCTTCCAATTTGAGAAACAGCATTCCTCTTGATTTGGGAAATTAACCACTAGGGTTGACTGCATCACTGAATGTGACTGAATTCAAGCCACTGGTTTTTAAACCCATTTTTTAAGATAAATTATTGTTTTTATCACACATGTTTCAAGAGAATATACAGAGCCTGAATCTATACAGTCAGCGTGTGTGAGACATGCACAACACAAACACCTTCCCACTCATCCTTCAATGCATGTCTGTATAGCCTAAATCAGATACTCTTGTAGATGTTGGCAGTTTCTTGTCAACTCCCTGTTCCGAATGACCCCAAGAGCAGGGAACCTAAAAAGAATTTCTACATCGCAACATCATTTACCTCCCATCTGAATATGTTCATTTCTTGAGCAAAATTTCAGCATACTCTCCCCTCTGCGGGTGCAAAAGGAGCTTCCTTCTCCCTGTCTCTGACTCCCCTTCTTCCTTTCCTGGGATTTCTTTTTCTCTTCTTCTCTGTTCTTCCTCCACCCCTGAATTGCCCACGAATTCGAAGATCCCCTGGTTTAAAAATCCTACACATGATTCCTATGGCTGAGATAGGAATTCACTGTCCTCACCAGACAGTTGGTTCTCGGGAACATCTTCAGCTAACACTTCAAAATAACTTCCCCTCCCTATACTGACTTCCCACAGAACAGAAACGCACTGTGATTCAGAAAATGTTTCTGAGCCCTGACCCCACCCCAAAAACATTTCCATCCTTCTCACAAACCTCCTTTGAGGGAACATACCTAGCAATGAGGGAAAAGACAGTTGTTTGTCTTTTAATTGCAGCATATTATTGCCTGTATGAAATATGTAAGTGTTTTATATATTCTCCTATTTTTAGCTTATATTTTATATTGTTGAGAGATCCTTTTTTTTCCTTCCAAGGCGTCCTACTATAAAATTACTTATAAGATATAATTAATCTTTATGCTATTGCTGTATGCGACATTTGGTAATAAATGGTAAATCATTGACAGTATGATTGACTGGTGCAGCCCAGAATGTATATTAATAATCTTGTAAAACATTATCACAGACATTAAGCTAAACTGTTCCATTTTTTTTTTGTAAGAGATACACATGCTTTGGAACGGTTATAGATATTGATCTGTCTAAAATATTTAATTTAAATAAATGTTTTTGTACCATGACCATTCTATCATTTGAATTATAGTTTTGCAAACAGAAAAGGTTTTCCAGGGAGGCATAGATATTATGCCCAGTTCTCCTTTATAGTACTGGTCAAAATATTTTCTACATCAGTTTTTTTATTTTAGAAAGTTATCTTGTAGGGTTGGTTTATTTTATGAATTATGGTAAAGAGATAAAGCCTAATTTGACACATTAGAAACAGTGTTGTTATCATGAATATTGAAAGAAAAGACCAGTTCATAACCTACCTGCAGAACAGTTTTCTCCTCAGGATGACTTCACACTTGTAGAGTGGAATGAGGTGATTATCAGGCGCTTTCAAGATAGGACGTAAGTTCTGCCCAATTTCTTCCTTAAGGCTGCCATGTTTTTTTCCTTCTTTAAAATAACCTAGAAAAATACCTAGCTTTCTCTCTTTACTATGCATTTATTGATGTGGTATAACAAGACATCGCAGGCTTTCAAAACCCGGTGGAATGTTGTGGAGAAGGGAGGGAAGCGCCTGGATTGGTAATTAAAGGATGTAACATCTTGTGAGGTTTAGGATTAAAATCCCAGCCAAAAAGTGCCTGGAAAAAGCTGATGATTCCTCAGTCCCCTTGCAGGTCACCGTGCCTGGCTTCTCTCCGTGGGGGAGCAGTTGTTACTTGTTCAAGTCAAGGGTAGCCTTGTCTTCTCCCAGGGCCAAGGAGTGGGTTCCGGGAGGGCCCAAATGGGCATATGTTCAGCCTTCAATTCTGATCATAATCTATAGTCATTACTTTAATAGCACTTTATAGATGTAGGGAAATTTACGGCAAGTTTTATGGGCTAATCCTCACTCATGATCCCAGGTGGGGCCCTGTCATCCATCCGCCCCACTGTGCAGCCAGAGACACAAAGGCCCACGGTGGGAGGTGGGGCAGTGTAGCTCACCCCACTCGGTTAGGGGAGGCTGGAGTTCCCACACTTCATTCCAGATACGTTTATTGGCAGCGTCAGTTGAACAGCCTAGAGGTTTCATGCCTCTTTTAGCGCTTCACCATGGCATGGAACAACGTGCGGTCCAATTCATGCCTATCACAGCCCCGGGGAAAGAAAGAATGAGCAAAGAGGAAATTACAGGGTCAGAGTCAGATGAACCCCGAATTCACTGCCATCCAGGCCCACCAACCGTGGCTGGCTAGCAGTGGCAGTCTCCAGGGTCATCAGCTGTCCAGAGGACGCGTCAGGCAGTGTCTGCACAGGACATGGGCCCTCGGCACTGCCAAACGGGCATTTTTCTTTCCAGTACGTACTGTGGGGGCAGGGGCGTTGTCCCTGCCTCTGGGAGAGCAGGAAACAGGCCGGCGACAGGGCTACTCTTTCACTTCTGCTCAGCCGTGAGTGAAACAGTTATGTCCAGAAGCCGGGAGTATTTTGGAGTTTTAGCTGCCCGTTCTGATAACCCACCTGTCCTCAGTGACAAGAGCACCTTTTGCTTTGGCTGATGAGAATTGATGGGGTTGCCCTTTTTTTTTTTTTTTCTCAAATGTAGATGTGACTATTTCATTCTTCCTTAAGATCCTTCAGTATCTGCGCATCGCCCAGGGCACCCAGGGTGAGCACAGAAGTGGGGTCATGTGAATGCAATGAGGTTCCTGCTTCCGGGCTTCTCACTTACTAGCCCCCGTAATGTATTCATATGCCAGGCCCCCGGCCCCGCCTTCCCAACTGTTTGAGCTTCAGGACCCACAACACCTGGCTTGGCCCCATGTGAGTGCCCCTATGGCTAACCTTCTTCCTCTTTCCAGAAGCCTTGAGCAGCATCCCCCTACCCACCATTGGGTACCTACTGCACAAAAGACCTATTGTTCTCTGAAATGTTTTCCTTTCCCATACTTCCATGTTTATCCCAGTGCTCTTCCCCTACGGGGGAGACCCTCACTCCCATCACCTGTCTGATGACATCCCACACACCATCCAAATCCAGCTTACATGTCCCCTACTCTGCCTGGCAGAGGGGCCAGTTACTGTTGTCCCTGAGCTCCCAGGGGTCTTGAGCAGACCTTGGTAACAGCACTTACTGCTTGGCAGTGGAATCATCTACCCATATGCATCTTCCCCAGCAGGACAGACACATAGTAGCTGCTCAACAGTAACATGAATGAATAAATAAATAAACATCTGAGGTATTCCAGTTCATCTTGGTGATATAGACCTGAAACCTCCTGGGTCCCTATTTCCCCTGCCCACATCTCTGGACACCAACACCCTAGAGCCTTTTTTGTGTGTCTAGTTCTCAGGGTTCCGGCTGGATGTGATGCATCTGTGGCTATTCACTCTCACCTGCTAGACTGTAGCCTGTAGTAAACAGGTCAGGAATGGGCACAAGGGTACAGCAAGACAATCTCCTCTCCCATCCCATCCTAGAGCAGCTAAATAGAGTTGAGGGTTTTAACATTTGTAACTGCCTGTTTTCCTTTGAAAATTATGCTCTTGATTTCCTCCCAGTGAAAGGGATTTAGAAGGAAGAGAGGGGGGAGGGAGAAGAGTGGGAGGAAGAGAGAAAAGAGATATATTTATCTATTATCTATCTATTTATCTATCACCTATCATATTTTTAATCTATCCTTCTATCCATCCATTCATCCATCCATCCATCCATCCATCCACACATCCATTTATCCACCCACCTGACCCACCCGTCCATCCGTCCATCCATCCATCCATCCACCCACCTGACCCATCCATCTATCAATATCTGTCTTATCTATCATCTATCTTCTACTGGTATTTAAATTCTCAAAAGAGACAGTCTTTGTAGAAAGTTTAGAGAGTAAAAGATCATCTATTATCCACAACTTCGAGACATTGCTGGTACTTTTTCTACATAGGTCCATCCAGTCTTTAAATTTTTTTTTTCATCTAGCTCTATGTCTACATATGTCTCTTATAATAGGCATTTTTATTCATTAATACTAAGTAAACATTTTCCTGTGCTATCAAACTTAATTTTTCTGCAAAAGGTGTTTTCTTGCCAGTTGAAACAGCAATTTGGAAAAAAGAAAAATTAGTCACTCCATGACTTTGACATAACTATTTTCAATATGCTCATTTTGGTGTCCTGAA